CCATGTGTCATTTTAAGTTCCCCTTCTGTCTTCTTTCTGCTTTCCGAAGCTTCTCTTCCATGATGAAAATTCTTTCCACAGTTTTAACTTGCTTTGGAAATGATTTCCTGTCCACTGGCGTTGCCTCTTTACCTTTTGGAACCACTACTAGAATTTCTGTCCGCCAAACAACTTACCTTTCACCCTGCTGTAGCTGATGGCTACTGCACTATCTCCAACCTCTCTCGCAATCCCCTGTTTGAATTGCTCCAATAAACTCTTGCTCATCACACAGCACTAAAACAGTCCTAACCAAAATCATTAATGGCATTTCCTGTAAGTCTGGCCTTAATGCACTATATTATCTTTGGCTACTCTGTAACTTTCAACTACACCATCCTTCGCAATATCTGTTTTCCCTGCCCCATGGAACTCTTGTTTGATTTCACAGTTACTTACCTAGAATTGCCAGTGAATTTGAGCAATGGCACCTCTTCTCGCACTCGAATACTTACCTCCAGAGTCGACAAAATAATCCACTCGTCATCTCACTCCTCTTTCTTACTTCAATGCACAGTCCTTGGGCAATATTGTCCAAAGTGATGTGATCACCTGATTTCCAGGTTTATTTCTCCACCACCTCTCGACCCTCATATGTTTAAACTGCCTGTCTGACATACACACATATGAATAATGATGTCCTTGAACTCAACATTTAGATGATGGATCCCGTTACTTTTTCCCCTTGCTGACAGCTCTATCCCACTTTACAGAGAATGTTTCAAAATGAAGTGGTTGTTTGCAACCTCAACATCTTATTCCTGTTCATTTTTTAAATCTTCTATATTTTTATTGTAAAAATCACATCAATAACATGACTTCCTCTGTTTCTGTTTCAACATTTTGATCACCTCTCTTAATCTGTCCTTTGGTTCAGCAGTCTTATTGTTCACACATTCAGAGCACATTTATCTACAATCAAAGTGCAATATCTATGGAAGCATCTGCTGCTGTTCTAGGACTTCCATCTCATTTATATCAAAGCTCCTGACTTTATTTGGGCTACATTGAGAGAGCTCCAGCATCGATTGTACAATCAAAAGATTTATTGTTTCTGTGCATCTACATGTCACAAAATGACAAACATTATTTTATGAAATCCAGTAGAAAGAACAGTAACCTGGTTTTGTGTAGATCAAAATCAGTCAAATTTTGGTTTGGAAACTACCAGAGTTAACTTATTTTTCATGAATCACTAGGTGTTTCATCTGAAATAACAACATATCACAATTAAGTCTTAGTATCTTCAAAGCTGATGGCAGGTGTGTGCTGCTATTCTGGTTTGTTTATGTATGGGTCATGTCTTCATTATCAGCAGCAATGTTCCTGAATTACAAATCTCATTGAACTCTCTCGCCTGTCATTACCTGCAGCAAAACAAAGTGTGTGTCCCCAGGTGCAGTCTCTAACAAAAGAGTTAATTCTTTTCCTTAAGTCTAGGCTGCTTTGATACCACCTGCATCTGTTGGGCCTTATACCCTTCATCCACAACTGCTTATCTTCTAAAGAACTTGCTGCCAGATTCATTTCCAAACATTTACACATCTCAGATGTGTAAAACCATAGTTAGTTGATGTTGCTTAAAAGGTTTGTCTGGAATAAAGACAGTTTTTTTTTGTTTTCAGTAATAATTGTTGTGTATTTGATACCAAATACATGGCCATTGTTTATTAGAAACTTTTAGTTAATTTCATAAGTACCATACAAAATGCACTTTAAACACTACTGAGCATGTTCTACAAAAATTCAGGTTTTAAAGGCTCCTTTGCAGTTACTTTGGTTTCTGAAGCAGCTCAGAATATTTTGAATTGTCTGTTGCCAACAACCACTGCATTAGGACACAGCCAGCAACTGCACACAGCAAGCCGGTTGCACTCACTCAAGCCTGGTCCTGATTTTAAAATCCTAAATCTTCTGCACTACCGATATTGCAACCTGAGCAAATAAATTAGATTGGAGTTAGTTCAAAGGAATGAGCTGCTACTGCTGCTATTAATCTCATCAATGCAAACTTCATGCACATGTAAGATTAAGTAATGACATCAGTGCTATGGCTCCGGCGTTCTCCTGACTCACACCTCCTGTTTTCGGAGCAGAAAAAAAGTTTTCATAAGCAGACCAACCTTCCTAAGAACTCAAACATGCGTCTTTATGTGATATTGGCAGCATAGGGCTAACGATTACTCCTTAGCTCCGATATATCACACTGAATGTGTAGGATGCACCATGTTTTCCTGTCCTTAAAGGTGGCAATTAGCAATGTCACTTGTTTACTTATAAGCTGGTGATGATGGATTTCTTTACTGTAAGATAGCTGACATTATGCAATGCTTAGAAAACATTAAAGATAAAATCGGTTCATGAATAATCAAAGTGTCCTTTGGATGCAAACGTATTTGAGTGATTTGATTTATTGTCATGTGTACCTAAGTACAGTAAAAAGCTTTGTTTGTGAGCAGTACAGGCAGATCATCGGGTGAAAAAACTTTGGCAGAGTGAGGCATTCAGGTTGCATTGCACAGGAAGTGTGCAAGGCAAGATCAACATTGTCTGAAGTTAGACAGTCCATTCAACAGTCTAAATAGCAGGAAAGAAGCTGTTCTTGAACCTGCTGGTGCGTGTGTTCAAGCTTCTGTATCGTCTGCCTGACGGAAGAGGTTGTAGGAGATCATTACTGGGGTGGGATGTGTCTTTGTTGACAACGAGAGGTGTAAATGGAGTCCATGGATGGGAGGTTGGTTTCCCTGATGGTCTGGACTTAGCTATTTGAAAGACTGCCTACCCACCAAACATCTATGACGTGACTTTTATTCTTGTACCAGAGAGTAACAGCCAGGTAGCAATGGAACTAATTTGGGCAAGAAGGTTTCATTTGGGGTAGAGCAGATGCTGCCAGTCTTTAAAGGCATTCCTCTATTATGATATTGAATAATGTCATGTTCTATACATGCAGGCATTTATGATGACCATTCTGCCCCAGTTATTCTACGCATGCGTCTTCTCTCAGCATGCAAAGCACTAGTTCAGGAAGAGACTTACACTGCACCTTGAAGGGAAGTAGAAGAAAATATTGTTTTTGGTCTTCTCTCCCGCAACCTGGCCTGTAATGTTTATGGCCTTTATAGTTTCTGAATGCACAATGAAGACTGGCTGACTCTTCAAAAATGTGATAAACCTGGTAAACAATATGTCATGGCCAGGTCACTAACAGAAGACAAAGAGACACTTACAAGTTGGATCTTCCTGAAGGCAGATTTTAAAATTATTTTCACTCCCACGTATTGAATAATTAAACAGTAATAATGAAATATACTGGGTTGCATTAGTTAATTGCTGCTTATGCTTTTTGTTAAGTCCATCCAATTGCAACAAAGGACCTATTCCTGTGCTGTAAAGTCCAATGTTTTTCAACTACAACTTGACACAAAAAGTTAGATGATAGCCTCAGCTCATTATGAATCTTCTGCCTTCAGCAATATTTTCCCCTTTTAAAAAAGCAAAGGCATACTTTTATTAATCCCTTATTTGAATATTTCTCCTTTGTTTGGGGTGGAATGATGCTCATTTACAGTGCTGTAATTCTACAGTGCATCAGATTTGTTCACTATTTTTGACTCTTGACAGGAAACAGACTGTGCATCCTGAATTAATTCTAAACTAATTTATTTCCTGTTTTGAACATTATTTGACTTATCTGTTCACAGATACCATTTGAATCTGTCTGCATTCTTTCCAGGCAAGGAATGAATACATTTGTGTTCCTACTATTTGTATCCAATTGATATTTTTGCAAACATTGTTGACTTTGTGCCAATTTAATAAGTGCTGTCAAATTACCTTTCTTGACCCATTTGCAAAGCCACTAACACCAAATGGGGAAAATGTGTCTCATCGATAATAAGTGCCAGAGAACCTGAAATAGACTGAAAGCAAGTGGGTTAAATTTGCAGATGAGCCTAAACAGGGAGAATTGTCATGAAAGCCAAGGAACCACAGAAGGACCTGGATGAATTTATTGCTTTCGAAGGACTATGGTACATTTGGCAGCATGGTGGCCCAGTGATTAGCACTGCTGCCTCACAGCACCAGGGACCCAGGTTCGATTCCACCCACGGGTGACTGTCTGTGTGGAATTTGTACATTCTCCCTGTGTCTGTGTGGGTTTACCCTGGGTGCTCTGGTTTCCTCCCACAGTCCAAAGATATGCAGGTTAGGTGGATTGGCCATGCTAAATTGCCTATAGTGAATTAACCATGGGAAATGCAGGGTTACAGGGATAGGGTGGGGAACAGCGTAGAGATGGTGAGTCTGGGTGGGATGCTCTTTTGAGAGTCAGTGTGAACTTCTTGGGTTGAATTGCTTGTTTCCATACCGTACGAATTCTATGGATTTAAATACAACACAGAAATGTTAATTATTGCACATTGCATGAATATAGGGTGCATATTTTATGACTGGTGCCAAACTAGCTCGCAGAGATGCTGAAAGAGATCTAGGAAAGATTGTATACTCATGTCCACTTATTGTGGGGAGCAAACAAAAGAAACAGCATGTGACTTCAATTGCTAAAGTAGTGGAGGAAGTTACTACATGGCAATTAGAGGTCAGATCAGCTTGCACATTTAGTACAGTTTAGTTCTGGTCACTGGCCATAAGAGAAATGTTGAAAAGCCTTGAAGTGATGCAGAAGAGGTTTACAAGCTGATCCTTAATGCCAGGACTGAGGTATGAAAAAATTGAGTCTTCCAAAATAAAGCGAAATGAATGCTCGGTATGCAAGGTAGTAAGTGGCCTAGAAAAGGTTAATCTGGAGAGCTATTTCAAATTAAACCATGACTGCAAGATTGGTCCTATGGCAGGCTGGATGAGCCTGTATCTTGGCTTGACTTTGCATCTCAATACAAAAGCTCAAAGATTATTTTTCTATTAACATTCAAGTGAAATTTATTTTCTGATTTCAGATATGGGACATGAGTGATGATGAAAGTTTCTGAAGAACAGTCTGCAACCTGAAAGAAAGATGCAAATTGAAGAACCAATCCAAGACCTCTTTCCAGCTTTTCAGAATCCTGAAGTGCAATAACAGCTGCCCTGAACAGGTCACAGATTCTTTGTGATTTTCATTATGGCATTCAGCCTAATTAAGAAGCGTTCTGCCTTTAAATAAATATTATCTCCTAATGTCTTTTTGGAGTCAAAAGCACGCAAATGTTCCTGGCCCTTTCATCCAGATCACAGTTCTGGAGATTATGATGTTAGCATTAGTGATAACAGCAATAATCCAAAAGTCTCTAAACCGAATACGTGTATTCAGTTATGTGTATATAATTACATATCAGCCTGAGTAAGGATATTTCATGTGCTCAAACACAAACATTTTGTTGAAGTTGTTTCTCACCCTTTTTAGGGGTTCACTATCTCCAATCATTTTTGACTCTAGCTTCCTAAAAGTATTATTTTAAAATCAGTTTCAGTACAGACGAGGAGTTTACATGCTATGAACTTTAATTAAATATGAAATTTATCATTTGAGCTACTGACTCCACTTCCATTTAAAATGTTCCTTTGTACTGAACTAAAGTCTGTTTCCTGTCCGCCCGTTCATTGTATATCTGAAGCATCTGTATCGTGTACATGCTGGTGTAATCTGCATGCGACACTTCCTACCTTTTACACAATTAAAAATGGTTTAACTGAGTTCACACTATCAGACATGTCTCAACATTTAATTTCACAGGAGTAAGAGGGTGAATCTCTATAAAATGTACCAATAGCTCTTGTTTTGCTTTCATCTGTGTCAAATGAAAGCCAAATAAAAGGCCTGGAATGCTGATACCATCCAGTCACTTTTCATGTTAGTTTAGTATGTGGATGTTTGGATACAGTTATTACTGGAACTAGCCTGATTTCTCTCTTTCTAATTCATTGGCTTGAAGATGATCTATCAAATAGTTTTATTTTTAATAGCTGGCAATATTGGGAACATTAGCTTGCAGTGTACTGCAGTGCTAAGAAAGCTAAATTAGCATATTTGGCTGGTATGTCAAGATACCTTGATAGGATGAACTGTCTACTGTAGTTGACATGTTGCTAACAGGCCAAGTAATTGTGTCTAGTCAAGGCCATCAGTGGTACTATCAATATTTATTATTTTAAGCAATTATCAAACACAGATGTTGAAATTATTTAAATTTCCTTATTGTTGCACTCATAAGCAAGTCTGCTCAGAGCAATGTATAAACCTTAAGTTTATCTTTGCCTCAGTCAAATGACTTATGATTGTACTTTAAACAGCCGAGTCCTACCAGGTGCTGGAGGCTAATGGATAGTAGAAGTATTTGTATAATTGTTCACTCTATATTTCAGATAAATACACAAATGTTAATTGCAAACCCAAGAACAGAGGTAGCCATTGACACTATTTTAATGAGACCAAATGGAGATCTGAGGAGCACCTCTCATCTTTTGATAGGCATTTTGCAGCATTCTAAACTTAACATTGACTTTAGTTTTTGATCATGACCACTGTTCCCATTCTTTTGGTTAACATTCTGATAATGATTCTGCTGTTGCCATTCACACCTCCATTAGTATCACCTTTTGTTTCATGTTCCATTGTCATCCCGTCTTGTTCTTCGCTGTCGTCCCTCTTTCTCTGCCTCTGTATTTGCTTATAACATTGTACATCCCTAATATTTAGCTCTGTTCTGTTTTCATTGCTGCCCCCTGATCTGTTGAGTATTTCCAGGATTTTCAGTATCTTGTTAGGCATTGATCTTTTGCTCAGCTGACATGCTGGGTTAAGATTCTGCTCACTGGACATGGACATCGTTGATTCTAATTGATTTTCCAGGGTTGGTCAAGTTAAGGGAGTGTGTGTAGACTCCCATGAATTAGAGGTTCTGTGGTAGTTTAGAAGGCCAGGCAGCATGTCATAGAGATGTAGAGCACAGAACCAGTCCCTTTGGTCAAAGTCATCTATGCCAACTAGTCTTTGGCTCAAATCCCTCTAAATACTACTTATTTATATACCCACCCAGATGCCTTATTTATGTTGTTATTGTACCAGCCTCCACCATTTCCTGTGGCAGCTCATTCCATACACGCACCACGCTCTGTGTAAAAGAAGTTGCCCCTCACGCACCTTTTAAATCTTTACCCTCTTTAAACCTATGCCTGCTAGTTTTGGACTCCCCCAACCTGAGGAAAGACCTTGTCTATTCAGCCTGTCCATGTCCCTCATGATTTTATAAACCTCTATAAGGTCACCCCTCAGCCTCCGATACTCCAGGGAAAATAGCCCCAGCCTATTCAGCCTCTCCCTATAGCTCCAACCCTGGCAACATCTTTGTATATCTTTTCTGAACCCTGTCAAGTTTCACAACATCCTTCCTATAGCAGGGAGATCAGAATTGCACGCAGTATTCCAAAAGTGGCCTAACCAATGTCCTGTACAGCCACAACATGACCTCCCAACTCCTATACTCAATGCACTGTCCAATAAGGGCAAGCATACCAAATGCCTTCTTCACTATCCTCTCTATATGGGACTCCACTTTCAATGAAATATGAACCTGCACTCCCAGGTCTCATTGTTCAGCAACACTCCCCAGGACCTTATCATTAAGTATGTAACTCCTGCCCTGATTTGCTTTTTGAAAATGCAGTGCCTCACGTTTATCTAAATTAAACTCCATCTGCCATTCCTCGGCCCTTTGGCCCATCTGATCAAGATCCTGTTATACTCTAGGATAATCTTCTTCGCTGTCCACTGCACCTCCAATTTTGGTATCATCAGCAAACTTTCTAACCATATCTCCTATGTTCACATCCAAATTGTTTATATAAATGATGAAAAGCAGTGGACCCAGCACCGATCCTTGTGACACACCGCTGGTCACAGGCCTGTAGTCTGAAAAGCAACCCTCCACCACCACCCTCTGTCTTCTACCTTTAAGCCAGTTCTGTATCCAAACAGCTAGTTGTCCCTCTATTCAGCGTGATCTAACCTTGCTAATCAGTCTACCACGAGGAGTCTTGTTGAACACCTTACTGAAGTTCATTTGGATCACAACTACCACTCTACCCTCATCAATTCTCTTTGTTACTTCTTCAAAAACTCAATCAAGTTCTTGAGACACAATTTCCTGTGCACAAAGCCATGTTGACTATCCCTAATCAGTCCTTGCTTTTCCAAATGCATGTAAATCCTGTCCCTCAGGATTCCCTCCAACAACTTGCCCACCATCAATGCCAGGCTCACCAGTCTGTAGTTCCTTGCCTTTTCCTTACCACCTTTCTTAAATAGTGGCACCACATTAGGCAACCTCCAGTCTTCCGGCGCCTCGCCTGTGGCTATCAGTGATACAAATATCTCAGCAAGTGGCCCAGCAATTACTTTCCTAGCTTCCCACTGAGTTCTAGGATACACGTGATCGGGTCCCAGAGATTTGCCTACCTTTATGCATTTTAAGACGTCCAGCACCACCACCTCTGTAATATGGATATTTTTCAAGATGTTGCTCTTTATTTCCCCATGTTCGCTATCTTCCATATCCTTCTCCACAGTAAACACTGATGGAAAACACTCGTTTAGTATCTCTCCCATTTCTTGCGGTTCCATGCATAAGCGGCCTTGATGAGCTTTACGGGGCCCTGTTGTCTCCCTAGTTACCCTTTTGTCCTTAATGTATTTGTAGAATCCCTTTGGATTCTCATGTCTCCTTTTTTGCCCTCCCGATTTCCCTCTTAAGTACACCCTTACTGCCTTTGTACTCTTCTAGGGATTCACTCGATTTCTGCTGTCTGTACCTGACATGTGCTTCCTTCGTATTCTTGACCAAAACCTGAATTTCTCCAATCATCCAGCATCACCCACCAGCCTTGCCATTGACTCTAACAGGATCATACTGTGTCTGGACTCTTATTTTTGAAGGCTTCTCATTTCCTACTCTTCCCTTTACCTGTGAACATCTGCCCCCAATCAACATTTGAAAGTTCTTGCTTAATACCATCAAAATTAACCTTCCTCCAATTTAGAACTTTTAGATCCAATCTATCCTTTTCCATCAGTATTTTAAAACTAATAGAATTTGGTCACATGAAACAAAGGAATAGGCCACTAAATCAGTGAGGCCCTTTTTGGCTCAAAAGGTAGCAATTTACAAGCAAGAAATGGCAGCAGAAGAGGCAAAGCTGGAGATTGTCATTTTCCTGCAGCCTCTAATCTGAACATTGACGGTCAGCTTTCTCCTGGCAGCAGACCACTGGTGGGAAAGAAAAGTTGTAACCCTGGGCTGATGTTCTGAGAACATGGGTTTGAATCCCACTGTGGCAGATTATGAAATGTGTATTCATTAAAAAGCTAGCCCAATGTCAATGATATACCTACTGTCAATTGTTGTAAGAACTCATATGGTCGCTAATGTCTTTTACGGAAGGAAATCCGCCATCCTAACCGTGTCTAGCCTACATGTGACTCCTGACGCATTGCAATGTGGTTGACTCTTTACTGGGTTTAGGGATGGGCGATAAATGCTGGCTTAGTTGGCAACACCCTGATATCCCATGAATGAATTTTTTTAAAAATCATAATTCATCAAACAGAAAGAGAATTCAACATTCACTGCCAAAAGCGTGTGGCTCAACTATGCATGGCATTTTCTCGCCCTGATGCCTTGTACTCTGGTGTCAATAAAGCACAATAGTGCGTCCAAGTGTCCACAAACATAGATGTTTATGTTTGCAAATGAACCACCATCATAACTCAGCTGCATCACCACCCCCTACCCCCCCTTCAAAGGCTCATCTGGAATGTTTTTATTTACAGGATCTGTCATCACCCATTCAAACTCTGTACGCTCACAACTGTGTACAACTGCCTACCATAAGCCTTTCATGTCTGAATTTCTTTCTGGGATATCATCCAGAATATGGAGTAACAGGCATCTTTTGGGCTGCTCCCCAAGAGGAGGGAACCCTGCAGACATTGGGAAGGCCTATAGCTGGGATATTGGAATCCGAGAGGTTGGTGAACGAGCAATAGCAGTCGGTTCTGCTGCAGTTCCATGGTTGATGTGGGATTGCACTAGCATTCCTGCAGAAATGCTTTTACTGCATTCCTGTTCTACACAATAGCAGCGTTTCTGACAATCATTATAAACTTTCTTCCTGCACTAGATGCAATACAGAGTAAAGAAGCAAAGGGGAAGCTCTACGTTGTCTGCTGAGGAGTGCATTTTTTCTGCTGCTCGCCTTTTCAGAGGCCTGAATGATATCTCTGTGAAGAGTGAAATTATGAATACTCACATTGGAATGTATCACAAAGAGCTGTCATCTTACAGAATTGTTGCTATTATTACACAATAAGGTCTTTTCTGCTTTCTGCACCATTCCTGTTATGGAATCCTAAGGAGCTTGAAAGGGATTGTCATTCCAGAGCCAAAAGGGGTGGTCTTTATCACTTGCCTATAATATTATGAAATTTCACTGTATTCATGTGAGTACATGTGACAGTAAAGCTAATTCTGATTCTAAAGGTTGCACATGTCACTACCACATCATGAAGTCGGAGAAGCCATTGAGCTGTATTATTATATACTGATGGCCATACCCTAACTACAGAATGGAACTCATTTTTTCTTTTTGTAAGATTCAGTGTCAGCTTGAGATCATGAGGCCACATAGGGACAATCAACAGCCCCTCAAACA